AACTCAATTTCACTGAGGGCCACATCAGCATTGCGATTGCCCTCAGGGGGTCGGGTGGATGTGGCCAGAGTGGGTGTGGCCTACTGGGTGGGTGTGATGGAGTGGGTGTGGCCTACTGGGTGGGCGTGGCCAGTTCTACATCATTGGCGTCAAGCGTGCCTGTGGGGGCCTGGGCAGGAGTGGGACAGATCTGAGGGTCTCTGGCAGAAGGGGGTGGGACCGGGGCAAGTGCCAAGGCATGGTCCACCGGGGCAAGTGCTAAGATGGCCACCACAAAATTGTACATTGGCTCCTGGCCAGCCTGGGCCAGGGCCAAGGCAGCGGGGGCCGTTCCCTCATTGTTTCCAGGATGGCTTCGCGGGCCACATGAAACCACTTTGCGGGCCGCGTGTTTGACATGTCTGCCCTAAAACATTCCTGACAAATGGTTGTCCAATCTCTTCTTAAAAACCTCCAGTGTTGGAGCCCCCACAACTTCTGGAGGCTTTTCTTCCAGGTTCTATTTCCAGAGAGATATTGTTCACCTCTTTGTTTTTGGGACATGTAATGATGATATCTTTAATTGGTGGAATAATGGAACCACGAATGGATTCATCAGTGGAAAGTCAGCCTATGAACAGAAAAGGCTGTACAGGCTTAATTTCAATTTACAACCAGAGTTGGGACGAGAACTTCCATTGCTAAGGAAAGCAGATGTTAAGAATCGCATCGGATTTTGTGACTTTTCTTTTCTTTTCTTTTTTTTTTGCCGTTTTCTTCACTGTCCTTTGCTCTCCTCGACAGACCAAATGTTTCATCTGCGGACTTGGCAGTGACTATTTTGACACGACGCCCCACGGCTTTGAGACCCACACGTTAGAGGAGCACAACCTGGCAAATTACATGTAAGCAAAGGACGGCGGGGGGGGGGGGAGGAGAAGGCAACAGCCAGGCTTTTCCTAGTCTTTATTCTGTAGCTGTGAAAGGTTTCAGAAAGCAGAAAAGCATTCAAAGACTCTGAGAGGCAGGTCCCAACTAAGCAGTAGGGGAAGGTAGTCTAGCACCGTGAGGTCCGCGGGACCCATGTCAGCCTTTAGAAGTAGTCCAGAACCAGGAAACCAATGTTATTTATGCTAATGCTACTTTTATTTTGACGTGATGTAGCAAAACCTTGCAAGTCAGGTCTGAGACGCTTTCTCAAAGTACATTCCTGTTTGGGACTCAGATTTCTCTTATCTAGCCATTCTCTTATTTGCTGGTTATTCTCACAGTTCATTTCAGCCCCTCAAGGCAGCTGCAAGTTAAACTGCAGGAAGGGTGCTAAGGGGTGGGGGAGACTTCCTCTTCCCCATCCCTCTTCATTTCTCAGTATTTCCCATCCCCTCGGTGGTATTCCTCTGGGCACAACCCACGTTTCTCTAAATCTGAAGATAGGCTGCAGGTGCTTGTCACGATTCCTTTCCTTGCAAAAGGTTTCCACGTCATTCTTTTCCGGCTTTCTTCCTCCTTGTAGGTTTTTCCTGATGTATCTCATCAACAAGGATGAAACGGAGCACACTGGCCAGGTGAGAGGACATCCTGAGGGGGCCCAAGGACGGGAGGGGAGGGAAGTTAAAACTCAATATTTTGATTTTTCTTCTTTTCAAATTATTTGTTTTAATAATATTTTTCTTCCCCCCCTTTTTTATTTTTCCTTTCCTTTTTTTCACATTGTTTGATGAGCACTGACAAATAATGGTGATACTAATACTATATTTAAAGCTTTATAGACCTTTTCTTAAGACGATGCCACAAACTATACGTTTTATTCCATCGTTCCTTCATTAAATGAGGAATTTTAAATGTTAGGACCATTGGAAATCCTTTGCTTGCTTACAGATATCTTATTCTGCATCCCTTATGCCTCTTCCCACCTTTCCCCCCCCCCTTTGGGTAGCTATTTATTTTGTAATTTTTTTAAAAAATAATGAAATTATTACAGGTAAGTCCTCTACTTACAACCACGACTGAGACAGGATTTCCATTGCTAAGCAAGACGGTTGTAAAGGGAATCCCACTTTTTTTAAAACAAAAAAATGACCTTGTTTGCCAAGGCCGTTAAGCAAATCGCTGCGGTTGTTAAGTGAAAATTACACGGTCGTTAAGCGAATCTGGTTTCCCCCATTGACTTTGCTTGTCAGAAGCCAGCTGGGAAGGTCGCAAATGGCGATCACATCACACACACCACACACACACACACACACACACACACACCGGGATGCTGCAGCCATCATAAATACACGCCGGTTTCCAAGCACCCAAACTTGGATCACGTGACCCTGGAGATGCTGTGATGGTCATAAGGGCGAGGATTGGTCCGAAGTCACTTTTTTCAGCACCACTGTAGCTTCCTAAGGTCACTAAACGAATGGTTGTAAGTAGAGGACTCCTTGTACTTGATTTTTTTTTTGAAAAAAGGGGCGATGCTCCGTTTTAACAGCGAGGTGTTTGTGTTCTCCCTTTTTGCAGGAATCCTATGTCTGGAAAATGTACCAAGAGCGCTGCTGGGACTTTTTCCCGGCGGGAGACTGTTTCCGGAAACAGTATGAAGATCAGCTGAGTTAGAGGCTCCCCCGGGCTTAAGCAGGAGGCAAGGCGGCTACCCTGGGCCCACCTCCCTTGCCCCCTTTCCTGCCCCCCCCCAGAGAAAGGGGGCTAAGCAGCCAAGCAGAGTGGGAGACCCCGGCTGAGTCTCTTTATTTCAAGCGTGGGGAGAGCTGCCTCATCCCCCCCCCGCCGCCAACTCTCAAGTCTTCACCACTGTTTTCTGCCTCTTGCTGCCAAGCCCCCTCCCCTTGGTTGAAAAGATGGGTATTTCTGCCTCCCTCTAACCCCACCCCACAAAAAAAAATACCTGGAGGGTCCCAGCCTGCTTGGCCAGTAACTCTTCCCAACTCTTTCTGGTCTCTTCGTGGTGGTGGGGGTCATGCAATAGGCTTCCTTTCCAGGTTAAAGCCCACCCCACCCCACCCAGTTTCAAGTGCCTTTTATTGGCCCTTACCCCCCCCCAGGAGAGGGGAGGGGCCTCTATACAGGGAAAGACCTACTCTTCCGGATCCGTCAGGAGAACGGAATGGGACAACTTGCCCCGGGATAACTTACCCGCAGGGCCGTTTAAATGTTTCAATCTAATCATTTAAAAGGAATTAAAAAAAATATATCCTGTCACGTTTTGTCATTCACATGTCATTCTGTCCCTCCTTCGGTGAATCTTTCAGGATTCTAGTCCACCGTTTCTTTGGTATTAGTTTAACTCTTGTCCCGCAACGAGTTGTCCCACGACGAGTTGGGTGTGGGGAGAAGTTGGGGCGAATTTGTACCTGATTTCAGTCACCCAACAAAGAGATGCTGGTGTGTTCTAGTCCAGGTCTCCAAGACAGACAATGCAGCCCCCTCCATCCTCTGTCCCCCCCCCTCTGTGACTTGAATAACCCTCGCACTTAATCCTCCCCTTAGGCTCCACCTTATTTGTGAAGCTTATACGTAGGGTGTGGGGTGGGGTCTTCTCTTGCACCAGTGGTCCCATCTGGATTTGCGAAGGCACCCAAAATCCCACCCCGTCTAGCCAGATGTGTGTGTGATTTGGGGCGGGGGGAGGTAAGGGGCCCTGGCTCCAGGAGGCTGGCATCACCCTCCGGGGATCCACGGCCCCTCGAGCTGCTGAATAGAATAGACCCCTTGCCGTCCCCAATGTAATGGCCAGCCTACTGAACATTTGAAGCTAGGTCTGTTGTGGAGATGCAGACACTGCCCCCCACCCCCCGTGGTTCTCCCGTCCCTCAAGTCCAGCTTGGTTCTCTGCCAATAAAAACCATAGACTGCTGCAACACCCCCCCTCGAGTTGGCATCATCCTTCTGCAGAGCCAAGAAATTGCGAAGCTGTTTTTCCTGTTTTGTTTTTTTTCCTGTTGCTGTTCATTCTGCCTTTTTTTTTTTGTGAGTCTGCTTTTGGGATTGCCGTGCATTTTATTGGTGTCTGTCCGCTGCAAATAGGAACGAATACCAGCTTGGGATATCACATGATACCAAGCCATCATGGCTTGGATGAATGGAGGCACCCCCATTTGTAAGGGGTGTGTGAGCACAGAACCTTGACTGAGAGGAGATTTAACAGAATAACAGCGTTGGAAGGGACCTTGGAGGTCTTCTAGTCCAACCCCTGGCTCAGACAGGAGAACCCTAGGCCATTTCAGACCAATGGCTGTCCAATCTCTTCCTGAAAGCCTCCAGTGATGGAACACCCACAACAGCCTGGAGGTAATCCATAGTCAGGTAGGGTGTATCTGATGCGTTGGTCGCCCAAGAACTGATCCACTAGCAGGATCCGGCCATACACAACTTAGCCACATCCTGGACACTGCTCTTGGACACATTAACGTATATGCACGTGCACACCGAGATACATCTTTCAGAGGAGAAGGCACCACGATGTAAAAAAGATGTTGAGACTCTAGAAAGAGTGCAGAGAAGAGCAACAAAGATGATTAGGGGACTTGAGGCTAAAACATATAAGGAACAGTTGCTGGAATTGGGTATGTCTAGTTTAACGAAGAGAAGGACGAGGGGGGACATGATAGCAGTCTTCCAGTATCTCAGGGGCTGCCCCAAAGAAGAGGGAGTCAAGCTATTTTCCAAAGCGCCTGAAGGCAGGAAAAGAAGCAATGGATGGAAACTAATCAAGGAGAGAAGCAACCTGGAACTAAGGAGAAACTTCCTGACAGTTAGAACAATTAACCAGTGGAACAACCTGCCTCCAGAAGTGGTGAATGCTCCAACACTGGAAGTTTTTAAGAAGAAACTGGACAGCCATTTGTCCGAAATGGTATAAGGTTTCCTGCCTGAGCAGGGGGTTGGACTAGATGACCTCCAAGGTCCCTTCCAACTTTATCATCATCATCATCATCATCATCATCATCATCATCATCATCATTATTATTATTATTATTATTATTATTATTATTATTATTATATGTGAAACGAAAAACTGAACATACTGTTTACTGAGGCTGAATGGCACGTAAAGAGAAGCATAAAACTAGGGCATTGATGCCCCTGGCTGCTTCAGGGTGAAGATGCTGAGGGGTTGGGCTTTGCAATTTCCCACTTCCAGTCCTGTCTTGCCAGCTTCCTGAAGCATCTGACAGAGAGTCCTCTTCCCCATCACTTGTTCTTCTTTGAGGAATCAGTTCCGGAGGGTGGGAGATTGTCAGTCTGGGCAACTTACAGGTTGAGGTGGGACCGTCGTCATTCGGGCACGTAAAGATTGCTGGTAGAATTTGGATTATTCACTGGCCGCGTCTCTAACACAATGGTGCTGGCAAGAAAGGAGAAGAGAAAGACCAGAATCAGGTGGGCACCCTGGAGGAGGATGTTCTGGGGTTGCGGGATGGCCATGCTAGCTGAGAAGGTTGGGGACAATGGAGACCACAGGATGAAGAAGGTGGTCCCAAAGAGCCAAAGAAAAGGAGCCCCACTTAGTACAGGACCCACGCAAGGAAGCTAGGAGGAGTGGCCAAGTTCTGCAGGCCACAACAGGGTGAAGCAAGTTGCACGGACGGGAGAAGCACAGAGATGAGGTTGAAGGTCTTCAAACCTGGAGGGTCTCAGTAGGCGGAAGGTCCACTGTTGATCCTGCAGCTTCTGTGCTACCTGAGAAGCAACATCGGATCAAGATGAAAGGTTATGGATGACTCTAGTGGAGGCAACAAGGATTGTTGAACTTCCACCCACAAATCAGAAATGAGATAAATGAGATGCCCTCATTGTTGGAGAATACTACGAAGGGGTTATCTTGGGCTCTTCTCCCACCACCATCTTTGGCCTTAAAATCTCAAGAGAACTGACCACACTGTGTTGGAAACACAGCTGCTGCTCCTTTACCTGCCCTGGTCCAAGTGGCCGTGTCTGCACACCATGACACCAAAATGCGTGCACGCAGTTCTGCACCAGTGCTGGAGACAGAAGAAGCGAAGAAGGTCAGGTCCTGCCACCGTGACTTACTCTCCGTTTCACAAAAACTGCTCGAGCATCGGACACGCCTCTCCGCAAAGGGAAATGGGAAGTGACACCTTCAAAAGTGGCCTAGCATCCCTCAAAGTAAAGTGTGATTCCACCTTAACCCAAAGCAAGATCGGTTCCATCACTGAGAAGCCCCCCAGCCTGGCAGGGAGGAGGCATCAAGCATGCAGATAGCCTGGAGTCATTGCGCAACCATAAAATTGCTAACTGACCCTCCCAAAATTCCTTGGAGCCTTATCTATTTGTTCCCAAGAGGAAGGAGACTGCCATTGTGGGGAGAGTCCTGTATTACAGGCAGAACATAATAAAATAGTTAGGTTGAATGCTTCAAGTGTGGGGTCTAGTTGTTGGAACCTGACACATCTCTCAATACTCCTGACCAGACAAGCCAGCAAACTCGCCACAAGCACCATCACAACAACTAGAGAATCACAGGCAGCATTTGGTGGAGACGATGGTTAGATTAGATCTCTTTCTCCATCAAGGTCAGAATTGCCCTGGAGATGTCAACCTCTACTTCCTCCAAGACCCGAAAGGAGCATTAGGTGACGGGGAGGATGCAACTGGGAGGAAGTACTGAACAGGGTGGAGAAAAGGAACTCACCGACTGACTCCACTGCTACGTCGAAGGTCAGTTTCGGTGGGGATCCAAGCAGCACCCCCCGGAGGCTGACAAACTGGATGCATCCTGGGAAACAAACCAAAGATGGATTGGCCCCAATAGGAACAGTCCCTCCTCACGGTCCTGACAAACCAAAGGCCACCTGGTTTCTACTTACCATCCATAAGAACCATCACCGACTTGTTATCCAACTGAGTCACCTGGACGAAGCCACAGCAGGAAGGCTCTGTGGACAAACAGATTCATTGTTGAGAACTACAGCTTGGTATTAATTTAAGGTCTGCCTTTGATCCTTAAAAGTTCCTTCTGGAAGGTCTTCAACCTAGTGGAGAAGGTGGCCTTTTGAATAGACCAAGAACGAATGAGCCGATATGACCTTCCCACTGAAAGATAGCCAGTTCTACCTCATTATTGTCCATCGTAAAGAACGTGCAACAGCCGATACACAAGACGCAGCCCTCCAGGGTCAAATGAACCATCGGATGACCTGGAACTCATCCTGGGATTCAACTTGTACTTGACGGGGGGAGGGGGAAAGGAGATCAGGATGCTTCCAGGATACTCACCACTTTTGTCGCTGATAAACCAGGAGGTTAAGGAATTGAGGTTAATGACTTGGAACTGCACGGCCTGTCCTGGGAGGCCCTTGCTGACCCCAATGCAGACCACCGGATATTCCTCGTCGGGGGTTATTAGCATCTCGAAAATGGGCAGCACGGAAGGCAGGGGGAAATCGAAGTACTATCAAAGGAGAAGAAAAGGATTTCCTGAATGAGGTTGATGCCCTCAAAGGTGTTGTCTTTGCCAAGGGGAGTACCTGAGCTAATAGCCACCTGTCAACCTTTCAAAGTAGAGCAGACTAGGAAACCAAAGTCACGCAGATTAATACAGGTAAGTCCTCAACAGAAGAATCTATCCGTTATTGGTTGTCCAGTCTCTTCTTAAAAGCCTCCAGTGATGGAGCATCCACAACTTCTGGAGGGAAGCCCTTCCACTGATCAATTGTTCTCACTGCCAGGAAATACCTCTTTAGTTCTAGGTTGCTTCTCTCCTTCATACGTTTCCCTCCATTGCTTCTTGTCCTGCCCTCAGGTGCTCTGGAGAATAGTTTGACCCCCTCTTCTCTGTGGCAGCCCCTCAAATATTGGAAGATGGCTATCGCGTCTCCCCTAGTCCTCTTCCTTAAACCAGACATACCCAATTCCTGCAACTGTTCTTCGTACGGTTTAGCCTCCAGCCGCCCAATCATCCTTGCTGCTCTTATCTGCACTCTTTCTAGAATCTCAACGTCTTTTTTTTTAGTATTATGGTGGCCAAAACTGGACGCAGTATTCCAAATGTGGTCTCACCAGTCCAAAAGGGAGCATGTTTTCAGTTATTGCTCAGAAAGCATAAATATCCTGCAGAACGGGAAAACCCTGGCGTCCAAAAATAGTTTCAATAATAAATCAGTGAGAGACCTTCAGAGAGAATGCCTGTGGTGGGGACAGCGGTGTCCTCCCCTGGTTGACACCAGCCTAAGTCTGCCTTGGCAATTGCACCCAGTGCACTAAATTGCAAACAGTGTGACTTAGCCAGCTAGCCAACACAACCTGGCTGTCTCTTCCTTGGGATGCCCACCTTGACCCAGGCCAGGCGATGCTGCCTCTGGCAGAGGACTCAGCTCTTACCTTGACCAGCATGAATTTCTGCATGGGTTCATACCATTGTAATAGAACCACCCCCGCCTCTAATGCTCCACAGAGAAAGTGGCAATTGTTCTGGGCATTCCTGGCTGCAAGAAAAGGGGGAGAACGTGCTGCATAGGCTGCTAGGCAAGGCAACCGAGGGGAGGAAGGGTGGTGTTGACCGTGGTGGCTGTCACCCCCCATTGAGATTGGCGTTCAAAGCACCTGTGCAACATTTTTGGCATCCCTTCGTGTCAGGAATCTTGGTGGTGGTGATGTTTTTCCTAGAGGGAAGGAAGGAAGGAAAGGAAAGGTGAAATGCTTGTGAAGGGAAGCGAGACTGCCATTTTAGAACTGTCCAACACAGTCTTAGATAGATAGATAGATAGATAGATAGATAGATAGATAGATAGATAGATAGATAGATAGATAGATAGACAGACAGACAGACAGACAGACAGACAGACAGACAGTAGATAGATAGATAGATAGATAGATAGATAGATAGATAGATAGATAGATAGATAGATAGATAGATAGATAGATGATAGACAGACAGTTGATAGATGATAGATAGATAGATAGATAGATAGATAGACAGATAGACAGACAGACAGACAGTTGATAGATAGATAGATAGATAGATAGATAGATAGATAGACAGTAGATAGATAGATAGATAGATAGATAGATAGATAGATAGATAGATAGATAGACAGTTGATAGTAGATTGATAGATGATACAGTTGATAGATGATAGATTAGATAAGATAAGATAACCTTTTATTGTCATTTATACTGTGGGCACAACGGCACACATCAAAAATGAAATTTAGTTGCCCGCTCTCAAAGTGAAACACATACATGACACACACCTTAACACACTATGAACAACATATGTATAGACCCAAATCCCTACATATACGTAGCAAATAAATATTAAATATTGTCCATCTTGAATATGTAACGGAAGGAGGAAGCTTGAGAGTTCGCAAGGTTAATGCTGTATGGAATGAAACTCTGGCTGAATCTGGATGTTGTGCTTCGGATACCACGAAGCCCCCTCCTCCCAGAAGGGAACAAGGAAAACAGGGACAGTTGATAGATGATAGATAGACAGATGATAGACAGAGATAGAGAGAGAGAGAGATGATGGATGATAGATAGATAGATAGATAGATAGATAGATAGATAGATAGATAGATAGATAGATAGATAGATAACCTTTATTGTCATTTCTTACTCTGGGCACATTGGCATGCATTAAAAATGAAATTTAGTTGCTCTCAAAGTGTACACATACATAATACACATTTAAACATGCTATATACAACATATGTATAAACCTACACCCTTACATATAAGTAACATATAAACATTAATCACTGTCCATCTTGAATACATAACGGAAAGAGGAAGCTTGAGAGTTCACAAGGATGACACTGTATGGAACAAAACTGTGACTGAATCTGGATGTTCTGCTTCGGATACCCCGGAGCCCCCTCCTCCACAGAAAGGAACAAGGAAAACAGGTCACGGAGAGGATGTGTAGTGTCCCTTTCTCAACCTTGGCAACTTTTAAGAAGTCTGGACTTCACCAAGACTTCAACCCCCAACAGGACAAGCCACTTATCTATGAACAGAGAACATCCATGCAGCACGGATGACGTTCCGTAGTTGGGACACGAAAAGTCTGCAAGAAAGCAGCCAAGCTCAGAGAGCACCAGGGACCCCAAGGAAAGCAACCCGTTGAAGCTCCAGCCAGCCAGGCTGCTAAAGACCTCTGCCAGATAAAGAGAGTGGCCATTCTCACAGCTAAACGAATCCTGAAGAAATAAGGAAGGGGTTAAGAAAAAGACACCGTTCCGATGATGGGTTTACCTGGGTAACAGTCGGTGTGGGGACAGGGACACCGCCTGGCGCTGGTCTCTCTTGCTCTGCTCGTGCAGACCCAGTAAATTGTGGGAGAAGAGCTGGGGAACCTTGCCTGAAAAGAAAACCTATCCAGGTTAATCGACTATACAGGAAGTCCTCCATTTACGACCATTCGTTTAGTGACCGCTTGAAAAATACAGCGGTGCTGAAAAAAAGCGAGTTACAGCAACTTATTGCACTGCAGCATCCCCAGGGTCACGTGATCAGAATCCAGACGCTTGGCACCTGGCATGCATTTATGACGGTAGGCGTATCCGAGGATCACGTGATCCCCATTTGCGACGTTCCTAGCTGGTTCTGACAAGGGAACCCAATGGGGGAAAGCGAGATTCGCTTAACGGCCGTGTGATTTCCTTAATGACCACAGCAAAAAAAAGGGTCGCAAACTCAGGTGCATCCTCATTTAATAACCACCTTGCTTAACGACGGACGTGCCAGTTCCAATTGCGGTTGTGAATCAAGGGTTACCTGTTTGGGATATGAACAATTATGGCTATAAATGATCGGGGATTCTGTTCAGGTCTTGGGACTTAAGTTTGCAAGGCGAGCAGGTCTGTGTTTGCAGAATTGCCACGAGCGCTTTTAAAAATCCTCTGAGCCCAAAGGTGCTTTTTCAAGAGGCAACTGGACTTTCTTGTTTTTCTTTGAAGACATTTCGCTTCTCCTCCAAGAAGCTTCTTCGGCTCTGACTGAATGGTGGGGAACGTAAGGATTGATACTCCTGGCAGACAGCTGGTCATTTGCATCCTTTTAGAGCAGGGGTGTCAAACTGCCGGCCCGCAGGCCGGTTTCATCATACCGGAGCTGCACCCACCCCATTGCCGGCAATGGCGAAAAAGCTCCGATACGTCGCGTGATGTCACGTGACGTTGCGAGTTTGACATGCCTGTTTTAGAGAGTCGTTGAGGCCACTTGGAGGTTTGTCTATGTCAGGGGTAGGCAACCTCGGCTCTTTTATGACTCGTGGACTTCAACTCCCAGAATTCCTGAGCCAGCATGAGGGAACTATGGCCCCCTCATGACTCGTGGACTTCAACTCCCAGAATTCCTGAGGCAACATGAGGGAACTATAGCCCCCTCATGACTCGAGGACTTCAACTCCCAGAATTCCTGAGCCAGCATGGCTCAGCTTGGAAACCTCTCCCTTTCCCCTCAGCATGGCTGGCTCAGGAATTCTGGGAGTTGAAGTCCACCAGTCATAAAAGAGCCGAGGTTGCCTACCCCTGGTCAGGGTCACCTGAGTGGTGCAAATGGGTGTGGAGCCTTTTTGGAACCCCTTTCACCCCTCCCATTCTCTTGGGTGCTGATTTTTTTACCTCAGCTGCTTGTGCTCGTTCAGCTACTGCTTTCTCCAGAGGGCTTTTAAAACGGGAGGCGAAAAAGACGAAACATAATACCAAGAGTAAAAAAGAGGAAATAGTTTGAACAGCAGGTCGGTTTCCCCGATATTAGCTGGCTGGTTGATTTATTACCACTTCCTGAGTTTTGCAGATCAAAACGTGGTTAAAAAGGCTAAGAACGTTTTTGTTTTGTTTTTTTAAATCAAAACGGTAAAAAAAATATAATCCGTTAGCAATCTACTTAATGACAACTCTGCGCTTAAGTAATTTAAGAGGAAGCGCGTCTCGCTTTGCAGGAAGAAATGGCACTTTTTAGTGTGTGTGTGTGTGTGTATGTTTTGTGTTTTTTTAGTACAGACTAGATCAGTGGTGGCGAACCTAGGGCACGGGTGCCAGAGGTGGCACTCAGAGCCCTCTCTGTGGGCACGCGCGCCGTCGCCCCAGTCCTAGGCCTTCAGCTGGGTTTTATAAAACCTTTTCGCTTTAGGCCTCCGCCGCCGTGTGCAAAAAAAAAAGGGTTCAATCAATCGGTCAATTTCAACTTATTGCGAGAAAAAAAAAGATCTTGCAAAGTTGGAATTGATTGATTGAACTGTTTAGTCCCACCCAGTCTGCCGTTACCACCGCAGCCACGCCCGCCCAGTGGGCCACACCCACCCAATGGCCACACCCACCCAATGGCCACACCCACCCAGCACCCGTCGATGCATAAATGGGTTTTGGGTTGCAGTTTGGGCACTCGGTCTCTAAAAGGTTCGCCATCACTGGACTAGAGTACTCTTTTTCAGCCTTGGCTACTTTTCAGCTTCCAGAATTCATAACTGGCTGGGGGATTCTGGGTGTTGAAGTCCACAGGTCAAAAAGGGGCCACGGTTCCCTACCTCTGGCTTAGGCTATGCTTCAACGCATTGCAGACCCAGCAGATGGGTGCCCTCCCAACCAGGTTAAGGCGTTGGGTTGTGCGAACACAACCTATGGGTGGCCAACTTACCCGAAAGGGACATGAGCACGTTTGCTATGCAATAGACCCACGTCGTTCGGCTGTGATAAAGCTTGAGAAAGGGAAGGGGACAACAACAACAACAAAAAAGGATGACGTTCTTCAAAGCAAGCCAGAAATTGAATTCTCTGCCTCCTTCCTTCTTAGTTCTGTCGTTCAGACTCGTCCCTGCACCCCACCCCGCCCCGTCAGTCTCACCAGTTCTAGGGCAGGCTCTGTCTCACTCCGGTTCAAGGTGAAGATCCCTTCTTCGGCCCCCAGAATTAAGTGCAGCTCTGCGGAACAGGGAGAAAATTCAAGATTAAGGAAAGGCCACCGTGATCGGTTACCTGCTCTCCGTGCCTCTCCTGTCTCTAAACGTGGTCCATCAGGTCTTCCAATCATCCAGATTGACTGAGCCAAAATTTCAGCTAAGCGAGACACTCGTTCAGTCAGTTTTGCCCCATTTTACAACGGTTGCTAAGTGAATCACTGTAGTTAAGTTAGTAATCTGGTTGTTAAGTGAATCTGGCTTCCCCTTTGACTTTGCTTCTCTAGAGGTCGGGATCCCGTGACCCCGGGGCACTACTGCAACCGTCATAAGTATGAGTGAGTTGATAAGCGTCTGAATGCTGATCACGTGACCATGGGGATGCTGCAACGGCCGTAAGTGTGGGGAAATGGCCATGTTGCTTTTTCCAGTCCCGTTGTAGCTTCGAACGGTTCCTAAACAAAGGGTTGAAAGTCGTGTGTGTGTGTGTGTGTTGGTGTGTGTGAGAGATTTCCGAAGCAGAAGAGCTGTGGATTTCATTGTGGAGCCTACCTGAGGAGTGTGACAAATGGTCATATGACACTTTTTTTCAGTGCTGTTGTTAACCTCAAAAAGTCACTAAATCAGGGGTAGGCAACTTTGGCTCTTTTATGACTTGCGGACTTCAACTCCCAGAATTCCTGAGCCAGCATGAGGGAAACTTTGGCCCCCTCATGACTCGCGGACTTCAACTCCCAGAATTCCTGAGCCAGCATGGCTCAGCTTGGAAACCTCTCCCTTTCCCCTCAGCATGGCTGGCTCAGGAATTCTGGGAGTTGAAGTCCACGAGTCATAAAAGAGCCAAGGTGGCCTACCCCTGCACTAAACAAACCGTTGTAAGTCAAGGAGCACACGATGTTCAGAAGAACGAGTCCTAGGTGAGGGAGCCATCCTGGAGCTCAGGTAATTATTTCTAGATGGCTTTTGGGAAGGTAGCTTTCCTTAGGAGGAGGTCCCTACGGTCACCCAGCAAGAACAGATCACTAGATTCTTTGAGGATAAGGAGCCTTGGTCAAGAGGTCATCACCTGGGCTAGATGCTCCTCAGGTCTGCAGAAGGAGCCGATGCAGTCCTCCCCCCCTGCCCACCCGTCCCTCTCGCGGGTCTGCTCCAGCCCTACCATTGGTGTGTGGATGGGTCCAAGCGGTGGCCGAGGTGAGGTGCAAGGGACACTCGTTGAAGACCTTCTTGAAGAGGGCCCTGTCCTAAGGAGGAGGAGGAGAAGCAGGCCAGAGCCATCCATGAACAAGGGCGCCTGGGAGAAGCACAAGAGCGTCCTGGCCCGCAGGGGATTCCCCCTCTCCCCTCCTGATGGTACCTCTTCCCCTTTGAATTTCACCCTGATGATTCCCATACTGGTTGGAAATTATATTTTGGAGGGGAGGAGGAGGAGGAGATGGAGAAGGCAATGGGAAGAAAAGGAAAGGGAAAGGAAAGAGGGAAGAGGAGAAGGAGGAGAAGGAGGAGGAGATGGAGAAGGCAATGGAGAAAGAGAAGGAAGGGGAAAAGGGGAAGAGGAGGAGATGGAGAAGGCAATGGGGAAGGAGATGGAAAGGGGGAAGGGGGAAGGGAGGAGGAGGAGGAGGAGAAGAAGATGGAGAAGGCAATAGGGAAGGAGATGGAAAGGGGGAATGGGAAAGGAGGAGGAGGAGGAGAAGAAGATGGGAAGGAGATGGGAAGGGGAAAGGAAAGAGGAGGAGGAGGAGGAGAAGATGGAGAAGGCAATGGGAAGAGAAGGAAAGGGGAGGGAAGAGGAAGAGGAGGAGGAGATGAAGAAGGCAATGGAGAAGGAGAAGGAAAGGGGGAAAAGGGGAAGAGGAGGAGATGGAGAAGGCAATGGGGAAGGAGATGGGAAGGGGAAAGGAAAGAGGAGGAGGAGGAGGAGGAGAAGATGGAGAGGGCAATGGGGAAGGAGAAGGAAAGGGGGAAGGGAAAGAGAGTGGAGGAGGGTGGGGATAATTCCTTGACTTGCTCCCAAGAAAAATGCAAGCTATTCTCTTTCTAGCAGGCTCAGTTTAAAAAAAACCCAAAGTTTAATTTGAGCCATAGTGCAATGATTTGGATCAGAGCAAATTAAACCAACGTGGAGGCTCAAAACACTTACCGGTTTCTGTCTCCTCTCCGACTTAGGAGGAAGGCTGGGTGGCCTCTCCTCCAAGGGATCTGAACGCAGTTCTGGGACTGGGAGGGAGGAAGGTAACAGTTAACACAACACCCCACCAAATCCTGCCCCAGTGAGATTGACCTCCCCAGATCTCAACCCGGCAGCAACATAATTCTTTATTTTTTTACTCTGGATTCTCCAAATTCAGGTTCGGTCTTATGGACTAGTCCCATTAAATCTTTTAACGGGACTATAACCCCTGTAAGGCTTGTTTCGGGAATGACAGGGCTCCCTGCCCCAGGCTATTTTTCCCCCTACAGGTAGTCCTCAACTTACAACCACAAATGAGCCCCAAAATGTATGTTGCTCCTTCAGATAGCTGTTCAGTGGATTTTATCCCAGGACATTTCCTGCCACAGCTGATAAATAAATCACTGCCATGGTTAATATAACACACTTGCTTCCCCACGGACCCTGCTTGTCAGAAGGTTGCAAAAGCGGGTCTCATAACACACACACCCCTCTCTGGGACAATGTACAAAGTTTGGGAGCATCTCGTCCTGTCTCTTTACTCCACGCCTCCGTTTTCTGGGAGAAAGTCATACCTGATTTGGCGGTGAGCTGGGAAGCTTCGGCTCTCCCG